CTGCCTTTCCATGACACAAAGGAAAAGAAAAAAGCTTCAGTCTCTTCAGGTCCTCCCCCATCGGTGTTAACCCCGCCTGCTCTGTGCCCCCGAGGTGTGCAGGACCTGCGTGCCTGAACCTCTCGCCTGTCCCGCGAGCAGTGCGTGATGCCAGTGTGTGATGCTGCTTCAGTGTCCGCAGATTTTCGCCAGGCACGGGTGGAAGAAAAGAAAAACAGCAAGTTGCATCCCCAGAAGAAGGTTGGAAGCAATTCAACTTTCCCCACAAAGCAAGGGGGAAAAGGGAAGAAACAATTCTGAGACCCAGGGCCTTCCCGGGGTAGTGCAGACAACACAATTTTTTTTCAACTAGAAAATCCTGCCTAAAGCTTTAGGCACTGTAAGATATAACAATACCGATAAATCGTAGCTACACAGCATTCTTCACACGAGTGAGCCTACAGGTTCTAGCCCTTGCAGGCCAAGCCACAAGGCAAGGAATTAACGGCCAACTGAAAAACCACACTTTTCCAACGTGTACAATTACTCAGAAGAGTTAGACACTCGGGGTGTAACTCATTTACCAAACACAGCTGTGCACATCTGAGCTAGTTACCTAGATTCCCACTTCAATTTAATGGAGAAAAATAAGCTCTAGGGTGCAAAGGCAGAGCTCGGAATAGGCCGGACGAATCCACCCAGAAATCGCCCACTCTTCTCCAGTAACTAGAAGGCGGAAGCCCCATGGTGACTTGCTCCGACGCGGGTGTCCACAGGCAAGAGACGCTGCTGGGTAAGAACAAAACACCCCCAGAGCGGCACCAGCTTTCTCTAACACCACATTATATTGTGTACTGGCTTAAACGGGAACTTCTAACTGGATACCAGTTCATTGCCAGTTTGTGCAACTATCACCAAAACTTTGTGGGTGTAGTTTGTTTTTTGGGGGGTATTTTGGTTTGGGTTGTTTTTTTTCCCCCCTTTCATTTAGCTTATGCCAGTTTGACTCAAGAGGGTTTACTTTCTTGAGAAACAGTATTTTTGATAATAGCACGTGTCAGCAGGACAGTCTATCTCATTTCCCGCCAGGCAGAAATTTGAGGCTCGTCTGGAAACAAGGGACAGAGCATATTCCGGCTTTCAGAAAAACTCAGCTGTAAAGGACCACTTTATGGAAGCCAAGACAGTTACAATCGATTACATAAACAAGTCACTAAATATCTGGTAGGGTGAAAAATGTTTAAGAGCACTTTATCTTGTGAAGACTTATTTTTAAAAACAAGAGATGTATCTACACTGTACCAGCACTTCCTACATTCATAACTCCTAACTTCACTTTGAAACATGCTGGTTTAAAAAAAATTATTTCATTTTAAATTTAAACCAATATTTGGTTGCTCCTCATCAGTAGTGCTGTTTCTGAATTCTCTTTTGGACAATGGAAAGTTATCATTGACATCTGTGGACAATGATACATGAGTAATTTCTTACTTTATGAAAGTTACGTTATTAACATACCCGTTTTTTTACGCTGAATATCGTTTTAAAGAAGATACAGTCAGGGATTGCATAGATAAGAGTATGCGGTATTAAATGTCGGCGTGACTTTAAAAAGCATTTTTTTTTAAAAGTGACTACAAAAACAAGTTCTTACTTTTTCCACTGGCCTTTTAACATAGCACTAAAACATAACCCACAAAGAGCAAATCTGTTTCCACAGCTCAAAGACTGAAGTGTGCTGTTTTAACATTTTAGGCTTTAAAAAGACAATTTCTGGAAACTGAACTTGCGATTACAATCTAGAAAATGAAACGGGGTTAGATGCGAATTTATGGACTGAGGCTTTTCAGCCAGCAGCACTCCACTCACCACCTCCCCCTGCCTCGACCCCCAGCCCTGAGCAAACGCAGGCAGCCAAGGGGCTGCAGAAAAGTCCCTTCCAACTGTGCTGCATCAGATGCCAGGTTGTTGTTTTAAAGAAAAAAGGAAATTCTGCAAAGCAGCACGTCAGGAAAAAAAAGTCGATATCAGCATGATGCAAAGGAGCTCGGTGTGAAATAAAAATTTTCTGCTCAGTAGATTTCCTATTTTTAAGTAAGTTTCATTATTACGGTAAGAAGTCAGAACTCAACAACAGTCTTATTTCCTTTTCTGTTTTTTTTGTTTTGTTTTGTTGTTGGTTTTTTTTTCCTCTTTTAGCCAGCCAGAATCGGCATAGCCAATCCTCAGAATATACTGAGGCTCAGTACTGGGGAGAGGCGAGAGGTGCTCCACCTCTCTCAGGACAGGCCGAGGCAGGGTGGAGGTACACACGTTTTCATATAAAATAACTGTCTCAGAAAGACAAGGAGATAAAGAAAGTTTATGAAGTTTCAGTACAACAGAACTGTGAGCAGAGAACTTAAAAAATAAACAGATCAGCATAATTTACACATTTAAAAACTATATATTTCATTCATAAATATCTTTTCTAATTAATATCCATTCCTAATTTAAACATAAATATTCAAGTTGGTATTTGATTTTACTTTTTATCAGTTCCCACGAGTCCTGTAAGGATCAGTTCCTCCTGCTCAATGCAGTCACGTAAATGGTCTTCGCTAACTGGTTGTGCAAAGGCCTTCATTACCTAGTTTGTTGTAATAAAACTTTAAAATTCTGCAACTCTCTTATACTTGTGGAAAGCCTGTAAAAGAAAAACCCCTTCAGTGTTAGTAAGTCAACTGTGAAAGAGAAGTGCAAATCATCATCTTCCGGGGGGGCTTTTTGTTTGGGTTTTTTTGAACACAATTCTGTTCCAAAGATGAACTAAGATAATACTTTCCCACAAAAGATCTACTATCTGACTCTCCATTATTTTGACACAATATATTACAGGGATTAAAGTTTAGATATATTTTACATTTTCCCCACTTGATTAAACGTCTAAAGAATCTCCAACTAGAGGTAAGAAACACTAATTATATTCTTTTAAATGGGACCAGATTGTTCTATTCAAGATCTGAAGAACTAGCACGATGAACAAACTAAGCAAGTTTACACGTCTTTTAAAGCTGTTCAAATGTTTTATTTCATCACTTAAATGGGGTAAATATTTGCTGTTTTCAAAAAATTAATCAAAATGTAAGTTTTAACAAAGATAATCACATCACACAAAAATAGAAAAGCTTAAGGGCTGAAGACTGTTTGAGACTTAAATCCAGCTTTCCCAAGATGGAATTTATAAGATTTGGGATCAATAGATGAATTGGATCCCAATACACAAATGACGACCGAGGCTAATGACCAGCACTCCACATACTCAGGTTGATGGCATTAAGTTTATCAATATCACTAATAATAATTCAGCCCTTAAAAGCTACAGCTACATGTACAATACCATCTTTCCACAGACCCTGAGTGGTGACACTGAAGTTTTACTGGTTTTCTACTACACAGCTGATGAAAACTTACCTTCCAAAGGCATTTACAAGAGCAACTATTTCTTGACGTGTGAGCTGAAAACCTTTTGATGGGCTATTCTCAGGAAGGCTCTGTATTTCTTTCTCAGAAAATAAGATCTTCAGAGCAGTTCCTAAGCCTTGAGTCTACAAGAAAATGTCTTAACATCAATAAGATCCCTCCTTCAAACTCGCAGAAAACAGTAAGAGTTAAAATATTACTATTCCAGGCAAACTGCAGTACCAGTCCTTGTATCTTGACATTCCCTCAACTCAAACGACTGCACACAAGCCAGGACCCGAGTGCAAATGCATGCCGTCAGTGGTGTACCAGGTTCAGTCGCTACATAAGAACACCTGTTTCCTCAGGTATACTTGCTCTTCACCCTCATGTTTTTAATCTCTTCCTTTCCCATCTCTTTTCTTCTCAGCCACACCAGATGCACATGAAAACACGTCCATTCCCACACTCCCAGCTTCCTCTCCCCCCGACAGCAGAGATGCCTCACTGCTGCAGAGCTGCTGGATCAGATCTCCCCTTTTCTTCTCCCCTCCCCTTTCCAAGTCAAACTAGGTTTTTATTCTGAGCTATCACAGCACTCCTGCTCTTCCACCTCCAGTCCCAGTGGCAGACATTGCAGTTTAAGTTTCAACCCCTATTTGCTATACAGAAATGGAACAGCAGAAGCTATTCTCATTTCCCCTTTTACTGGGCTACAGAAACAACCACTGGCTTTTGACACAAAAGTGGTTGAGGCTGGCTGCAAGAGAATTTTCTAGGTCAGGAAGTCTGCCCCTATTTCATCTTGCGCAAGAAGGAAAAATTATAATACATCAGAAGCATTAACTAGGACAGGGTAGGCAGAACTCTGGAAATTCAGCAGAGACCACCAAATTTTAGGTATTACGAATCTCTTTGAAAACTGAGCTCTGATAAGCTTAGTGCTATAGAGCAGTATAGCACCCCGCTAGGCACCCCAGAGTAACAACTGTTCTCAGTCTGGACTTAACTTTAGCCTTCAGGGTTAAAATCTTGTTCTCAATAAAATAAAAGTAAGATGTCTCCAGAAACTGACATTCTGTTTTGCAACTCTCAGCTTAACTATAAAATACCGCAAGATGCACAGTAATCTTAAGATCACATTTCCAGGCGGTAAGATAGAAATCACATCTCTACTTCCCCTTTTTTACAGAAATAAAAAAGTTCCCAATCCTTCAGGTTCCAGTGAAGTTTCTAACTGTAAAGAAAACATGCTATTCATTTGCTGCCTTCTGCATAAATGGTAAAAATCTGACTGACTCCTTTTTCTTATGCCTCAATTTGTGGAGTTAAATCTCATGCTGAATTTCCTAACAATTAAGCAAGTGCTGTATTTCCAGGAAGGCTTCTGACAGGTGATTCTACAAAGCTCATCTGATCACTGACTACAGAGAAGACACTGACTGCCAGTAAGACTTTGCCATGAAGCATCTGTTATAAGTAAAATTTTCTTGGCAAATACAAACTATACCTCTGTCACCATTTAGAGCAGGGCAGCGAAGAACCTCTCAGTAAACTAAGCAGCTGTTGACTAAGCAAAATAAATGTTTTTTAACAAAATTTTAGAAAAAGTTTAATAGTGAACTGAAAAGATGTCTATTTTTAATATGCAGGTAAGGACATCAAAGACCAACCACGTGTAGAAAGTCTAAATGCTAAGGTAACAGGCACCCTCCCCAGACCGAGACAGATGCTTCTCGCCTAACCCCCCCTGCAACACGCACACACATAAAATAAACGATACCTGCAGCTTGCCCCACAGCCTGCATTTATCACACCCAACACAATCCATTATGCGGGATATGTTCTTGAAATGCAATCGGAATTCTTCCTATCAGTTAAAAACAGCATAAAAAAGGTTAACAAAGTACCTCTTAGCTTTACCAAAAAAAAAAAAAAGGTAAACTAACTTAGTACCACTAGAATATCAATTCTCTATTACTAAAACTGAACAAAGCCGCTACCATATGTGGTCAGGCCATAAGAAACCCCCCTATAAACCCAGAATCTTGTTCCAAACCATTGCTAATAGTTAATGCCTTGAAAGAACGAAAATGCAGGACATGCAGGGCGACGCTTGTATTCTGTACACCAAGTTTCCAACAACTTGCTCAAAATTTTCTGAGCTGTAAGTACTCTGTCTGTGTCCTTGCCCAATTTTTCTTCCATTATCCAAATCCCTTTAGAACCAACATACATTTCTGACAAACAGGCAGACAAGTTACAATTCACAAATGTTATTTTCTGTCCAAAGCTACGAGTGGATGTTGCTTTGCAGCTTCAGTCAGAGTGGAAGCAAGCACAGCACAGAACTTCAGATGATCCCAATGAAATACTTAAGGTCAGAAAAACACTACCTGGGCTGATAAACTACTGGCACCTTTCTAATACTGATAAAATTCCAAACTACTACTGAAATATGTATTAAAAGTGTTATTAAGTATCAAACCAGACCTTTACTACTAAGCCACAATTCAGCTGTGGAAGTGTAGTGCGTACCAATCTGAACAGCAGCCTGTTCATTTACTATACACACCTCGTGTTCATTTACTATAAAGTAGATTAAGAGGCCTCAGATATAACCACGTAACTTTTCATCCCTTCCTTTCCTACTCTCAGCAGTACGTTTCTGGTAGGTAGAGAGGTTTTCTAAAGTAACACAGCTTAACTCGAAAACGGGTATTTTGGATGTCATTCAGAAAACTAGCTTTACCTTTAGTGACTTGGCTCCTTTTTTATCTCCGGCAAACATGGACTTTTCATCAAAGTGCATATGGAAGGACCTAATAAAGACAAAATGCAAAAAAACCAAATGCTGGCACGAACTACAGTGTCCTATCAAGCCTGGCAAGCAGCTGATGCCATCGCTGTAAAACACTTTTCAGAGTTCCTAGTCTTCGCAGAATAAAAAAATCTACTGAATGGTATCAGTTTTACTACTCAATCACTGCAACTTGAAACCTGTTCTTTACAGTTTTGTTGAGAATTTTCTTCATTTCCACCAATGAAGATTTCTCTCTAATACACACTGACCTTGCCCTAATGCTTGCCTTTCCGTTGATCGTTGTCTGACCACATCTCAAATACCTAGCAAGATTATGACTAGGGACAGCACTGAAGCCACACAGCACATTACTAATCACAAAAATCAGTGAGAATGTGAGCAAAAGAACTGGACTAAAGAGCCTTACAGAGCAAACAGAGGAAGCAGGGATGGCTAAAACCCCAGCGGGTACGTCTATGATAAAAGCTGGATTACTCACTGGATCTTTAAAAGACAACATGTACTATTTTCCTTTTCAACATAACTCGTATGCATATTATACTGAAGAATCAGAGAAAGCAACAAATAGGGAGTCACTCAGCGCATTGTGTGGTTGTGGTTTTGGTTTTGTTTTGGTTGGTTTGTTTGGGGTTTTTTTGTTTTTAACGATTGGTATATTCAGACCTCAAAAATACCCTCTCTTCCTGTCAGATGTACAAATTCCTCTTGTTCTGTCTCATCATTCCACTTTCCTTCTTGTCCTATGCTATCAAGAAGTCATCTATTCTCACTTGAGAATATAACTGAGAATTTAAAACTATTCATGAAAAAACCAAAAATCTTATGCCTTACTTTGTATCCCTGAAGATATCTAGTAACAGAGCTTTAGATTCAGCATCCTCATGGCCATTTCCAGTGTAAAGGTCAACAACTGCACGCTCAAAGTACGGTGCAACCTTTGACAAAGCACGCAGCTCTATCAAATATAAGAAATACAAATTTTTGAGCCTCCTTGGTCCTTCTCCTTTTGTTTCAGCGGGGTCAAAGCGGCGAGTGAACTCTTTCACATTTGCTCCCCAGCGAGGCTTCCCCCAGGTTTCTACACAGAGGAAGAAAAGGGGCAGGGAAGTAAAACATACGTATTTAGAAAAAGAAAGCAACTAAGTATACAGCAAAAATTTTGACAAAAAAACGAATACATGTTACAGATATTGTAGAATTCCATTTGGCAATTTTACCTAGACTTATATTACCTTCAAGAAGATAATTTGCACACAGATGCAAGTTGATGCTAGCATGAAGTCCAGAAATGAGTTTATAAAACACTCTTTTCTCAAGGCAAAGACCTGTCCAGGAAAAAAGACAAACAGACCCCAAACTAAACACTGGAAACCATGTATGAAAACTAATATACCTTGACATTTCAGTGATGCAAGTCTGCATAGTTTAACTTTCAAGAGTTACAATTACAGTACTTTGACATTGTTAATAAGCCCTTATAACCATCATAGGAAAAGTTTACCTCTTATTTTTTATATAAAGAAGTACAAGTTTGACATTTCTTACTCAGTATTTTAGTGTTCTAATAAATACAGTCAGATTAAGTATCTGGTCAATTAGTACAGATAAATTGCCACACAAAAATAAGATGCTTACATTGTTTGAGCAATAAATTTTAAACAGTCTTGAATTTCTGGAAACCAGAACTGTACTGTGATCCACCCTAATTCGAATCAAAGCTACCACTGAATTAGTGAATAAGTAGTGACCTTACAGAAAAACATCAAAAACCCCAGAAAACCTTATGGCATTGGAAAACAACACAAATATTTCTCAATATTTCTTCCAAGCTCTGCTATAAATTCACTGAAGAAATGCAATGGCATTGGGTGGCCAAAATATAATTTAAATGCAGAAATCAGTTATGATACCACTTCGACCCAGAGACAGAGACTACACTCAGAATTTAGGAGTTTGTTTCTTTCTCAAAGGTGTGTTTGGGTGACTTCCCTGCCACTCCAGTCCCCACAAACTGAAGCAGGAAGAGCTGATGGCGAAGCCTGTCTGTGAGGCTGAGACACGGCGTTGTTTACAGACATCACATTTTAAAAAGCATGTAAATTTGTATGCTTTCCTGCAATAGCACCAGTCAGAGATTTCCAACTGGACAAGGAAAGGCTTATGAAAAGCAGAATGAACTAAGTTTAAAATTAAGTACATTTAACCCATTTACTTTTCTGCACACCCTCAAAATGTGATTTTGATTGCTACCACTGTAATAATGATTTCCATTTAAATATGAATAAAAAGCAAATTGCTTTGCCTTCTGAACAAACACAGATTATACTTCTGTTAGTCTATATATTGGGAACAGAACCATCAAAAACTTTAATGTTTTAAAGTTGTTTTCAAATAAGAATGCTTAGCAGTTTTACTACTAAGAATGTCCCTGCTTAAATGCCTAAAATGAGCAGAAAAGTCAAAGTGTTTCTTCTAGTGAATTTAACATTATATTAACCCATCCAAGAGCCTTTACCTTCTAGCCACGTGTAGAAAGATTCTCCTGTAAACACAAAGTATATAGTTAAATGAAGAGTATGCATTTTCAACATAATGGTATCTTTATATTACTACGCATACTAACACTAGCTGCCACCTGGACATAAAGCTAAATTATTTAGCTATTAAAGTGAGAATAGGCACTGAAGTGGCTGAGCTCTGAGGTTAGTTTAGATCTGCTGGGGTCAGAACAGGAGACATACGAGAACGAGCATGACTACGTTACTGGTCAGGGCGCTCAGAGGTGCATGCAGCGCAAGCCTGATTATGTGCACTGGTGGTGAAAGACGTGATGGCAGAGTGTAATTATACCCCGTAGCCTTCACCTTGACCGCTATTGTCTGCAGGTTTCCTGTAGCCTTAGACTTTTGCCTGAGAGCTTTCGACTGAAAAAAATCTTCAAGTCTGTCTCAGTGCAGACAGACCAAATGCTTTTTCTCCCCACTCTCTCCTCACCTTCCCAAAATCAAGGACACATTCTGTTACAAGGATAAGAACCAACAACAGAACTGTGTTTTGCTCTTATACACTCCATCCTCCAACTCAAAATGAAAGAATTATCCCAATAAAAACATTTTCTGATCAATCATCTGCAGAAAAACATAACTTTCCAGCCCTCTAAAGCAATGGCAATAAAGTGAATAAATCAGATGTCCAAAACTCTTTAAACTTCATTTCTGCAAGTCAAGCAAAGTAAGATGACTTACCATCATCTCCTCCTTGGGGGGGCAGGGAGGGGAAAAAAAAAAATCCTTAAGTATTAAAAAGATAATTTCCACAGCAAAGTAGTAATGAAACACAGGCTTTACTACAAACACTGAAAAAGTGCAAGAAATCTTATTTAATCTACAAAAAAATAGGCTACTTTCCATCCTCTTCCTCCTCCTCAAGACCACCTGAGACTAAACACATTATAATAATGAAAGTCGCTAAGAATTTGAAAATTTAGTAGCAGCTGATTTACATATTCTTGAGAGCTATGTTTTCACTTCAGAAAGATGGTTGGGAAGTCGTTCTTCAGTTCACACTGTTCAACAATCTGACCGGTGTTCCATTCTGAAATGCTGATCTCTGAGTTAAACTGCTCTTATAGTTCTTTTTATTTATGTATGCCAGCAATATATTATCTCAATATTTATAATTACTTACGGCTATCTTGATTTTCTAATGTGTGGTGTTTTCAAATTCAATCTATTGGCTAATAGCTAGTTTTTAAGGGAAATGAGACACACTGATGGGGAAAGCTAATTTATTTGGAACACCAAGCTATAGTTTTCAATTTAATTTTGAAAACTTAAAACCCAAGTCATTGGCATACCTTTTTTTTTTTTTTTACATTCTTGCAGATAACT